TAGTTGTAAGCTCATTATATGTGGTTAAAATTTTCAGGTCCGAGCAAGGCAATTGGAATGGAGTTCGATCAGAATGTCAGACGAATCCTTTCACTATTGATATCTGGGGCATCACATTGACGATGGGATATGCTTGATTCATTCGATGCCAATATTTTGTAGCCATATGTCCAAGCTTTCTATTGATTTGGCAAATGATTAGGCTGCAGTAGGAATGATCTCCCTTGGAGTTGTGTTTTGATTTTGACCAAATTTATAGTGTTTAGCAGTGTGACAACCTCAATTATAGCTGTAAGGGGATGGTCGGTTGTTTTGCATCCCTTAGTAATTGTTAGATCCATGGGGCAATAAGAGTTTTTTTTTTATATATATAGAATTTCGTAAGTTACCTCTTGAGCGAGATTGTTATACTTGATATATAAAAGATAATAGTGATCTTCCATGCTGGTAGTTTGAATATCCATGTGAACAACTATCTTAAATGCTGGGTAGGAGAGTGGGAAGGCATTTAGGATATAGTGGATGATGCCTTTGGTGTCCAACATAGGACCAATAGTGGATATATCATCGATCGTAGCTTTGACTGCGAAGAGGTATTGCTTTTTAATTGGATCAACACTTCATTTTAATGTCATGAAGTTCATTAATGAATTGGTTGATGTGCCATTGGTTAGCAAAATGTAACCAATGGTTGATGGTTTTCTAGATTTTAGAATAGGAGTTGAGGGTGAGAACATATGGTAGAAGCAAAGTGGAGAAGGTGGAGTGTAGGACCTTTGGTCATGAAGGCGGCATATATCAATAAAGAGAAAGCATGGGGGAAGGTCGAAGATTAGAGAGTAGACAAAATTCGTAGTGCCAGAGTCTTTGATATCATTTTGAAGTTACAAAAGAGGATATATATGAAGTAGAGGTAGAAGAAGAATAGATAAATTTGTATTAGAGCTATTGTATTCATTTCAATCTCATTCAACAAATTTTGTAAAAAAAAGTAGAATGTTTTGTAGAAGAGATTAAACCTATTAGTTTTCTTTATAACATAGATGCTCAGCTTGTATGATTGAGATACCATGGGTGGTTAGCAATAAACAATGGAGATTAGACAAGTACAAGTGCTGACTAATTTGGACAGCATTAGAATTTTGTAATTATTTGTGTAACTGCAGCTTTTAATATTTGGGCTACATATTTAAATTTTTAGCATCAAATATATAGTTAGCTATGCTTGATTAAATCTTGAATTTGATACAAAAAATTCTCAAATAAATTTGAATTATATCTTAAATTTTGGATCATGTTCAAGCTTAACTCAAGATCAATAAAAATAATCAAATGAATTTAAATTTGATTATTTATTTAGATCTTAAATTTTACTTAATTATTTATTTAGTTTGTATGAAATTAAGTTTATTGCATTTTAAAAGAGTTTCAATGAGTTTGTAAAGTTTAAAACTAAAAATACTTATTAATTAAATCAATGAATCTTATAATTTTCATCTTTGTTTTTTTTATTTTTATGAAATGGACCTTCAGAGATTTTGAATTTGCAAAAAAGATAAGAATCCACAAATAACACTAATTTCATTTGTGGAATGAAAATTAATTTTTGTAGCCATGACATTCAATTATTCCTCAATAATTTCTCAACAATCAAAATCAAACAGCCAAAGAGCTTTTGAATTGACAACAAATGAAAGACTAATCAGACAAGCCTCATTTCAAGTGAAAAAAGAATCAAGTTTCTATAATGATTCCAAAATATTAATCAATATTTTTAATAATTAAAATAATTTAAAATTAGCAAAGTCAAAGTTTACTTTGATCTAGATTCAAATTAAAGTTTTATTTGGGACATCTTTCTTACTGCTTTTAAAAATAATTTTTTAGTACAAAAAATTTTTGAACTAAAAATTATTTATGTATTAGAAAGCTGCTTTAAAACACAATAAGAAAGCTGTTACAAATTTAAAGCACTTAGTAATAAATTCTCCAAGTAATATTTTTTTTCTAAATAATTTTTCATTATTTAAGATTATGTTAATACATCTAATTTGATCTAAATTTCTAGATTTCTTAACTCTTATCTTAGTTATTTTATGTATGCATTTTTCTCCTTTCTTAGTACCAAATATATTATTAAAACTATACAATTTTTTTTTTTTACTTTGCTTATTTCCCTCTATCCAAAGCCTCAATGATATTCAATTTTTGCCACCCTTTAAAGAAACAATCCTTTTCTTTGGATTTTCTCACTCTACAACTGATATATCATCAACAAATTATCTTGATCGGGCACAAATCTCGAGGCAAAATCAAGCCAGAAACTTCAAAAATTAAATATGGGATCATCTGAACTCCGATTTCAGCAAACTTACAGTCGAATTGAGCGTCTCAGAAATACAAACCCAACAACACCAAATTTGACTCAATCTGAGCCTAAATGAGTCGAAATCAAGGACCCAAAGCGCTGTTGAAAAGTTTGAACCATAATTTGAGTTACCAAACATGATGTGCTTATAATCGAATCGAGTGGCTCGACAAGACGAATCCAACAAGCCCAAGATTGACAAATTCTAACATCATTAAGACCTTCAAATGTCTGACGAATGGTACACGATCAAGGGATTCAATATTGGTCATCTATCGAACCACTCCACATTTTCCCTTGATCCTCCTCCTATTTACGGGTCATGCCATCCTCAAAAAACTATAAATAACCCCTCATTTCTCTTGAGAGGGAACCGAAGCAACAATAATAATGAGAAGAGAAGAGAAGAATAATAGGAGGGAAGAAAATACTCCTCGACCACCGCATGAATTATGCCAGATTTTCACGAAACGTCGAAATTCTGCCTAACTTCCACGTGACACTGAGATTCTGCCCGATTTCCACGGGACGTCGGAATCCTGCCCGACTTTCACGGGACGCCCGAGTTCCGCCCAACTTCCAAGTGACGCCAAAACTCCGCCCGATCTCCAAGTAACACTGGAATTCTGTCCGAACTCCAAATGACTATGGACTTTTGCCCGAATATCATCTAACGTAGGTGTTCTCCCCGGCCGCAAACAGACGTTGGACTTCTACCTGACGCCTGACCTCTGCTCGTCACTAGATTTCTACCCAACGCCGGACTTATGCCCGTTGTAGGGTTTTCACCAGACATCTATCTGATGTTAGATTTCTGTTCATTGTTCGACTT